AACTACAACAGCATACTGTGCTCCACCCTAAAAATATTTCTAAATTATAACAAGCTTATTGCTTTACATGGCTAAACATTTATTTTATGCCTGCATGATTCACTGCTATTACTGTAACCCATTACACTCTTAACCCAAACTAGTTGACTTTATTAGAAAACTGCATCGAAACATGTTGCCTTAAATCCTTTATGTTTTTACACAAGGTGAAACTAAACAGCCCACTTTAAATTAACCTAGAACCTTTACAATCTTCTTGAACTTACAGTAATATTTTAATTCAAGTATGGCTGTTAAGTTGTACCTTGTATAAAATGTAAGGGGTTTAAGCCACTGGGTTTCTATACAATTTTCTAGTAAAGTCAACTAGATTGGGTTAAAGGAATAGTTCACTATTTACTCTCCTTTAAGTGGTTGTAAACCTTTTTTAAAAACTTCCAAGTTACTTTGTGTTGAACATGAAGGAAGTTTTTTGAAGAAAGCTGGAAAGCTGAAAACATTGACATACATAGTAGGAAAAAACAAATACTATGGAAGTTAATGTTTGCAGGTTTTCATCTTTCTTTAAAATATAATTTTTTTGTGTTTAACTGAAGTAAGCAAGTCAGACATATTTGGAACAAGTGAAGGATGAGTCAATAATGACAGAATCTTCATTTTTGGGTGAATCTCTTTAAGAGTATACTGAAAGAAATGTCCTACTCAATGAAGCTAACTTCAGCTGCATGTGTAGCCCCATGAGTACTTATCTAGAAATCAAAACAATGATCACATCAGTCCCATTTTAGGCCCTTTATATCATATTGGCCACAGAATGGACTACTTAGTGTTGCAATAAAATAAAAAAATTAATAAAACTATGACTTACCACACAATACAAGACAAACAGTGAATTTTCAGCTCTGCCTTTGCTGTACACAAGATGAGGTTCCAGCTTCAACACTGATCTGAGTGGGGCAGTTGTGCAGCTCTGTGAGGTTGTGACTGTTTAGCTGCAGTGCTGTGAAGAGTTCTTTATTAAAAGAAAGTACATTCTTTTAAAATCTGTACATAATAACAAAGAAAATACAATGATTTTAAATAATGATTAATTCTGAACAAAAACATTACCCTTAGTCAAGATGAATTCATATGTCAAAAGTTTCTGCATCTGAAATGAATAAAAACAGATGTGACATTAGTTAAACCCACTAAACTACTAGATACATCAGTACTGCATTAAGCAGTTGTAAAGTAATGTTAATGTAGTCCAAAATGAGCCTTAATCTGTTTAAGATAATGATTTAAAAAAACGTTGCTTGTGTTAAAAACAATCCAGCCACTTGTAATACATTTGATCAATGGTAAATTTCTGAGAAGGTGCAAGGTAATCCTTGAATTTTACCATTACCATCCTGACTGACATAATATTTGAAAAGAAGACAGCTTGTTGTGCCTCTTTACCCCAATTTAGAGATGATAGATTCTTTCTTTTATTAAATAAATTGGTAAAGGCCAAATTGTACTGGTAATAGTGTATGATATTCATTGTGTGACACATCAGCTTAAGTTATACTTGAGCTTTTGTTATGCTATATATATATATATATATATATATATATATATATATATATATATATATATATATATATATATATATATATATGTGTGTGTGTGTGTGTGTGTGTGTGTGTGTGTGTGTGTGTGTGTTTTAAGGCATGGAAAATAATTGTTTTTACAATAAGCCTTTGGAAACACTTGATGTTCTTTAATATTGAAACAATTACGAATACATTTGTATTATTAGAGTTGCATATTGCATATTATATATAGATTTTGCACGAATTCTATTGTGGAAAACAACAATCTGGTTACACTGTTCCTTATCTTAAAATGTATATATTGTTCTAATGCATGACCAACGTTATATGTGAGAAAAATATGTTTTTAATAAATGAACTTGATGTAATTAGATAACGTCGCTAGTTCACAGTACATGCTTTATCAACAAATCGTGTTTATTTGTTTACTTTTTACTTACCTTGTGGAAAACCGCAGTGAACCTTGGGATCGCAATGAACCTTGGGATAGCGAGCATAGACTGTAAAAAATAGATCGCCACATACAATGACTCCAACTTTAATAAATAATTTAAAATGAAAAATATCAGCCGAAAACATTTTTAAACTTAGTACTTGAAATTTAATATTTTTTTTAAAGTAAAAAAATAATAAATAATATGAATGAATCAAAGTTTTATTAGGCATAGTTACCCTAAACTGGACAACCGAATATATTTTCACTCATTAAATATAAAGTAAATGATAACATATTTATAAACACCAACTAATCTCCAATAAAAATATATTATGCAGCATTAACGTAATATTTAATGTTGACAGTTGAACTCATCTGAGAACTCACCGCTGATGCAGTTTGACCAATAGCAGAGCGGCGTTAAACTCACCGTGAAGGGATGTCACGTGGGCCGAAGTTTATTCATACAGTAGTTTCGACCCCGTTTACAGACGCTTTTCATGAACAAAATAAAAATTACATATTTTTAAAATAAGAAAACTAAGATAATAGGCGTAAATCAGGTTTTAAAAATTGCGTTGACATCTATTGGTAATTATACGAGCCTCCAGCGTCTCCATATGACGCCTCAGGCTCATGCACAGATTCTATAGGGAATCCCTGCACGTCTAAATATGACGCTAAAGGGGTACCCTGTGCGTCAATAACTGACGCCGAGGGTTCCTGACCAAGCGTCAGTATATGACGAGTTGGGAGTGAGAATGTGTTGGCGAACCATGACTTTCACTAATAAACAGAATGTAGATCAACCAGTGATAAACCAGTTCTCTGAAATAGCTCAAAGGTGTGTAGGGGAATTACAGTTAAACCAAAGGACCCAGATTATGAGCAAAGACCAGGAGTCATTTAGTCAGGACAGACCTTTTTACTTGAGACAATGGTAAACTGCAAGTACTGTTTTTTTATGTGTGCTGTGTTGCAGGATATATTAGAATTTTATCCTTTTGAAACATCCAGTGTAGTCCATTTATGGTCATTTTGCCATATCAATATTTATTGTTCAAATCACATTGGTTACTGTGAAGCTGTGTTTTATGCAGCTGATGCTCTTTCAGCCGCAACCCAGTACTGGGAAAAACCCATACACTCTTTCATTCACACACACACACACACACACGCACACACACACACACACACACACACACACACACACACTCACGCACTACGGCCAATTAAGTTCAAACCCACGCGAACATCGGGAGAACACGCAAACTCAACACAGAAATGCAAACCGACCCAGCCAGGACTCAAACCAGCAACCTTCTTGCTGTGAGGCGACAGTGATAGCCACTGTGCCTCCCTCAATATATTATATAATTTTTAAAATTAACTACACACTACTATTTTCAAATCCATACAATTAACTGCTTAATCATAAACGCTATGTTGAGAAAAGTTTTTTTTTGACAGATGGTGATAGGTTTGAAGAAGGTATAGTAATAAGTTGAATAAATGAAGCACAAACAAAGCCAATAATGACAACAAAATTTATATATAGCATTTAAGACAATGAGAGAATAATAATTATCCTTTTATCTTTTTTATAATGCTTGAAGCCCTTTCTCTATTTCTCTAATTATTCCAAATGACAACATGGTGGCGCAGTTGGTAGCGATGTCGCCTCACAGCAAGAAGGTCGCTGGTTTGAGCCTTGGCAGTTGGCATTTCTGTGTGGAGTTTGCATGCTCTCCCTGTGTGTGCATGGGTTTCCTCCGGGTGCTCTGGGTTCCCCCACAAGTCCAAAGACATGGGTGAATTGGGTAAGCTACACTGTCCGTAGTGTATGTTCTGGTCCTCCTCGGGGGTTGAGCTTTGGGCTAATGACCCACCTCGATCAAAAATTAGATGTTATGAAACACCAACATGGTGCGGCTAAATATCAACTTCGATATGAACTGCTCTGGGAGTAAGTAATTATTCTAAAAATGATGAAGTTAAAAAATGGTGATTGTATCAGTTGCACAAGGTTATCATCCTTTTGTTGTGTGTCAGTTAACTGAAAAGTGTACTGCCATTACCAAGCATTGGACAGATGATGCATGTTCAGTACTTTGATTTGTAAATGCAAATTTTTTATAGCAAAAACAAAGCAACTATCTTCTTCCAAAGGCCCATGGTTACAACTTTTTAAATTAATCTTTGAGAAACACAAAAATCCTTTCTGAAAAAAGTGTTGCATGCAGAACTGTTGCAAACAATGTATTTGTGTTGAATTTAAACATTCAAATTAAGCTTAATGACGTTCAACTTAATTTGTTTGTATATATACACCATTTCTTAAAAAAATGTTTTGTGTAACAAAAAAAATCCTACAAATTATTTACTAATGTTCCTGAATTGTTTGTCAGATAAAGTCTTAAACCTAAAGTGTCTCTTTTAGACACAGGATTTTTTGTTTAAAATACCTGTATACTGTATGTTATGTTTACATATTTCTTATGAGGATTCCAGGACAGAAAAGCGTGACTATCTGAATTGTCTGAAAGTTCCTGCCAGTCACCTCAGGAATTGAAACAAAGAAACAACTGAGACTGCTACACTGTATCAACATTTAAGGACTTGTGTAAGTGCATCCTTTTTTATCCCAGAACTATGAAAAAGATAATACTAGATACTTTTTATTTTTATTAGCGCTTCATAAAATGACAAAGTTTGACAATTAAGGTCACATCTGGTGGCAGTCTTACTTTATCATAAATAATAAAAACATCTTTTTCAGAAGGATAAACTGTACAAGTTTCTTATCGTAACCACATCACACAGCTTCATTCCTCTCTCCACCAATGTGAAACAGACACTGCCGCGCATGCGCAAACTAAATCAAAATAATGATGCCGTGGCTACTCTCCGTTGAGCAGTGCTTGACGGGCGGGGCTTAGAGAAATATCAGCCAATCAAAGCGACCCACGACCAGTGAGCATGATGTCCGCTGGCCTGACAGATATGCGAATGCCCAGCGTGTCTTCGCCAACTTTATGTATTAAATCAGTGATTTGACGTTGGGAAGAAAAAGAAAACATGGTTGCCGTAAGCCCAGTGGCGCACAAATTGCTAAGCTACGTTCCTTTCCTGCTAGTTTTGATCGATCTTCGATATGAAGGTAAGTGATCAGTCCTTGTGCTGGTTAATTATAAGAAATTATTTTAACCATGTTTGTTGTAAACTGATAATTCGTCTTCGTAACATCTGTTTGAGGAAGTGCCTTTGTTTTTCTCATTATTAAAATCAAAACAAAGTGAAAACAACCCAAGCTGAATGTCCACATATGATACTCATAAAGTGCATATGGTGAACTGTCACAGTAGTCAGTATGATGACACTGTGTTTCACTGAGGTTTCCACTGCTGTACTTCACTAAAGTCGTTTCAAACGTAGTTTATCTGACTATACTCAGTGAATACATGTACAAAAAAAGATTTGAGTTGAGGCATTATGCCAACCATGATAACTACAGTCTATTTGAATGTGCACTACTCTACTACAGGTATGTTTACTACTGAACGGTACAGGTAACTTAGTGCGTGTACAGTATACGTCGTTATACTCTGTGGTTTATTCTAGGCTTCAGATTATTTATTTGTTATGTATTGTATGTGTCGCAGGAGTCAATGGAGGGAAGGATGGTGGCGTTGAGAATCATCTGGAGATGGGGAAGAAGCTTCTGGCTGCAGGACAGCTGGCTGATGCTCTCTCTCACTTTCACGCTGCTGTTGGTCAGTCTTCTTAATTTAGTTTTAGTTTCTTAATTTAATTTCTAATTTTTAATTAGAAAATGTACCTCTTAAAGCAATAGTTCACCCTAAAATGCTCACTGTTGAGTCATAAGGGATGTATATGCTGTTGTTCTTTCAGACAAACTCAATCTTAGTGGTTAAAAACAATTTATTTTTCTTCTGTCAGCTTTGTAAGTGTAGTGAATATTGTGTTTTTGATCAAATTACAAATTCATTGAGTTTTGACATATTCATATTAAAAAATGTATAAAGTATTATCACTGGTTTCTGGCAAGCCCAGAAATATAAGGTGTACTCTGTCTTTCTGTATACATATATTTATCTAATAGTAATTATCTATGTATAATATCTATCTATCTATCTTTCTAATTTTCAGATGGAGAACCCAAAAATTACATGGCATTTTATAGGAGAGCAACTGTATACCTAGCCATGGGAAAGTCAAAATCTGCACTACCAGACCTCAGCAAAGTCATCGAACTTAAACCGGACTTCACGTCGGTGAGTTTTCAGATTCATTGCACACATTAAAGTGGCCCTGTAATGCTTGGGTACCCTGGTTTTGTTTTTGAGGTCTCCTGCAATATGTTTTCATTCAGCCGAGGCTGTCTATTAGGTTAATAATTTAACAAGGTCTTGTAACAATAAATGCACCAAAATGAACAAAATACCCATCAAATTTAAGATAAGAGGGTATTACATTTTGTGCAGAATTAAACTAAATCTTAGCCTGCCTCCTTTATTATTTTTATATGTAATATTTTTATATCAATTTTTTTTTTCAGAATTTCAACATATTTTCACATGGTTTCATCCAAAAATGAACATTGTTTGTTTTCAATACTCAGGCAAGGCTTCAGAGAGGAAACCTACTGCTGAAACACGGTAAACTTGATGAAGCTGAAAGTGATTTCAAAAAAGTGGTGAGTAACATTAGGTTCGTAATCAGGGATGCACCAATCAGATACTTCTAGACAATTCTTAGTCTGTACTATAAATGACTTCTTACAATAATCCACACAATTTCCAGATGTCATATATTATTTAAATTATTTAAATATTAAATTGTGACAGATATGTTGTAGGTTTCATTCAAATGTATATAATTTTTGTACTCTTTACAGTGCGTTGCATTTTGTATTATATCGTTAAATAATTCTGAAACTGTTATGAAAGTGAGGCAGAAATATTGCAAATAAGATCAGTGCTGGTTGAACACAGTGTTTAAATATTCAGGTTTTATGTATTAAACTAAAACTGTTTGATCAGTGTATGCCTATTTAGCATGGAAAGAAGTTTTGAGATCATTGTTCAAAATCTGCCAAATTACAGTGCTTTCTACATGTCACAATTTCAAGTGTATCACCTATAATAAAACATGATTTAATTTAATCTTCCTTCGGCAGAGGTGGTCAGTGGGGTAAATTACAAGTCTAATATAATAAAACTATTGTGCTGTTCTGAAACATATTATCCATATATTCTCTTAAGGATAACGCTGTGTCTTTTTGTCATCAGCTCAAATCAAACCCAAGCAGCAGGGAAGAGCAGGAAGCACAGAGTCAGCTGAAGAAGTCTGATGAAATTCAGAGACTGGTGTCGCAGGCACAGAGTGATTTCAAACACCGAGAATATAGCTCTGCCGCATCACACCTCGACATCATCATTGATGTGAGTTCACCTCTATCAGGGTTTTCTCAGTAACTAAAACCATAAAAATGCATTACTTTTAATTAAGTAAACGCTAACTGAAATAATATATTAAAATACAATTATGGACCAAAGCAACTGTATTTAAAAAAAAATATATTTTAACTTGAAGTACTAAAATACGACTGTTTTTATGTTTAAAACAGATTTGTTTTAAATATACATAAAAGACATTACTTTTGATGTTTTATATATAAGTTTTTAATGTTTTTTTATCATATTTTTTATTTGTTATTAATTAGTATAATGATTCATTAGAATATGTATAAAATATTATAGTATTTATATCAAAGTATTTTAATAGAATAGAAAATTTAAAGAAATTGTATACATAAAGGGATTTTAATAAATCCTTGCTGAAAATGGGTAAAATGAGTTAGTGGCAAAGTAAAGGACAGTTCACTCAAATTTGAATTCTTTCACCCATTACTGATCCTCCACTTGTGTCAGTTTCTTTTTTCTGTCGAACACAAAGGAAAATATACTGAAGAATGTTGTAAAACTTGCCTTCAATAGTATTTTTGTTTCTTCTATGAATGTCAATAGCTTTGTTTCCCAACATTCTTCAGAATATCTTGTTTTGTGTAAAACACAGAAAGAACTCGATCAAAGTTTATAAAGTTTATATAGAATAAATGTTGAGGATTTTTTTGGGGTGAACTATCCCTTAAAGATTTAAATTGACAAGTCATTGGGATTTAAATAATGTTTAACTTAAAGACTGTGTAGACTGTGTGCCTTAAATAGAATATTTTAATACAACATCAAATAATTACTAGTCTAAATATGCATGTAATTAATGTTTTGTTTATAAACTATGCATGACATTTTAATGAGCATCTTTTGTAAGTCATTGCAAATTATTTACAGTTTTTCTCAGTGGCTTTGGGGGATTTTTCACAACACTGTTTACATTTGCACAACAGTTAATGCCTTTCTCAAAACAATTAGTCATTTGTGCACATCATCGTAGCAGTTTCTCATTCCTTCCAACAGATTGCAGATGCCTTTGTAAATGCATCAACTGCTTTCATACAACTCTGCAGTTTTATAACCTTATAATTTGCATATGTCATGTCAGTTTTTCTAAATTAACTAAACTTGTGAATGCTGAATAGTCATTCCATATAAAACTAATAGTCCTCATATCATTACTCGAGTCATTACATACAAAAATGTTGAACTGGTTGTCAAAATCTGTCAAGCAAAATTTTTAAAATCTTTTTTTTTTTTTCCCCCCGAAAATGTCTTCTAAATTGAACAATTTCGTGATTAATTTACAGACCTATATATGTTGTAGGTTCAGTTCTAATATGACTGCAATATTGTTTCCAGTTGTGCACACCTCTACCCAAAGTAAGTTTGTTTGTTGTAAATAAGGCTGTATTTATTCTTTTGCGAAGTGCTGTGAATAAATTAGAATTGCAAAGAGCAAATGCAGTAAAATGTGAAACATACATATTCAGTGTCTTGTACTCGGATACCTCACTAAATGCAGTGATGTCTAACTTTACTGTAGTTTTCATATTGGTGTGCAAATAGTCTATAGTGCTGTCTTGAGCTTTTTTAGGACATGTCACCAAAATCTGACTTTTTTTATTTTTATTTTATTTTTATTTTTAATGTACAGACTAAACTGTCATAATGAAAACATGACTAAGCCATTTGACTATCTTGTTCATAAACAATGGTGTCAGGACTTTTCATCTTGACACTGACACTTTCATTGACATGAATACTTGTGTTTGAGGAATGAGCTATCTATTTTGAGCAAGTGACATGCTTTTGCAGGTTAAAAACTAAGTTATCAGTTTGTACTAATTGTTTTGAGAAATGCATTAACTGTTGTGCAAATGTAAATAGTGTAGTGAGAAATGCAGCAAAGCCACTGATAAAAACTGAAAATTGCCATTGTTTACACAAGCAGACCCTTCCAGTGTACACTGTAGTATTTACTACATGACTGAGAAATTTCTGTCTTATCCATACACAATGACACAAGGACTCGTAATTCTGATGACACTAACTTGTTCATTGATACAGAAATTTTAGTTAGAGAGTAGTTTTGAGAGATGAACTAAGTACTTTGTGCTAGAGACTGAGTTTTGCAGGTAATCCACAGTGTTTTGCTATTTGTATGAATTGTTTTGGGAAATGCACTTGCTGCTTTGCAAGTTTCAATTCTAATCTGTGAAATGTACCAAAGAGACTGAGAAAAGCTGTATATTTTGGCTCAGAATAAAGAGACATAATAAAGTAATAAAATGAAAGTTATAGTTATCTTACAAAACAAAAACAACTCCTTTGACTAAAACTTTTAAAATGAAGGTAAAAAAAAAAAAAAAAACAATTTATAACATATAATAACATAAAATTTCTTTCTCAATAGTGACACAAATATTTGCATTGGCATTAAGAGGTTCATTTTACTGTAAGTGAGCCACCTTGATAAAATCCTGGTACAAAAAAGAAAAGGGATTGTATGTGCTTTGTAAGAGAACTCTTTGTTCTGAATTGGCATGATAGTTTGCGCTGCAAAAACTATAAACAGTACATATTTCATATTACTATTAAAATAAAAAGCAAACAACGGATTGCATTTGAGCATTAGCTTGTCCTGTTGACAGACGTGTGTTTGGGATGTGGACTCCAGAGAGATGCGGGCCGAGTGCTTCATTCAGATGGGGGAGCTGGGCAAAGCTATCAGCGACCTTAAGGCTGCTTCAAAACTGAAAAGTGACAACACTCAGGCCTTTTACAAGCTCAGTACCATCTATTATGACCTGGGAGACCATGAGATGTCCCTCAAGTAAGACAACATCTTATTATTTGTGTATTAAGCCTACATTTACACTACTGTCTTTATTTTATTAAGTCTTATTTGAACTATTTTAAAAGCAGAATAAACTAGAATAAAAGCAGTTTTTGATTTTTTATATAAAACATTTTAAGGTCAAAATTATTAGCCCATTTTAAGCTATATTTATCAATAGTCCACAGAACAAACAATTATTACAAAATAATGTGCCTAATTACCCTATACTGTCTAGTTAACCTAATTTGCCTAGTTAAGCCTTTAAATGTCACTAAGCTGTATAGAAGTGTCTCAAAATATCTAGTCAAATATTATTTACTGTAATCATGGCAAAGATAAAACAAATCCGTTATTAGAAATGAGTTATTAAAACTATTATGTTTAAAAATCTTTTCTCTGTTAAACAGAATTTGTGAGAAATAATAAACAGGAGGGCTAATAACTGGACTGACACAGTTTCAATTTAATATTATCTTTCATGTTAAGCTGCTTTGACACAATCTACATTGTAAAAGCACTGTAGACATAAAGATGAATTGAATTTAGTTGAATAATTCTGACTTCAACTGTATATATAACAATCATAGGCCTACCTACTGTATGATTGATATTCAGGCATTTTTATGTGCATATAAGTTCTCTCACAAATGCGTGTACACAAATGATAAACAACGATAAATTAGCAAACATATGTAAATTAGTAAAAGAACTGATACACAAGACACATTTCTAGTGCCAGTTATTGCACAATAATGAAATACCTGCGTTATTACACCCCACAGAACATTTTATGCTTTACCACTCCCTCTCATAAAAAAATAAAACATATTGGCAATCAATTATCTAGTGATCATCTTCAAGGCATTCAAAAGAGGCTGTCCATTTCTGTAATTTAACAGTAGTTTTAATGACTAATTTTTAATAATTTGATGATGATGATGGTACATTATCTTGTACTAGCTATTTCGCAAGACAATAGTATTAAGCTATTTAAATTGAAGTTTGCTAATTAGGTTAACAAGGAAATTAAATCAACAAGGAAAAGTAATCGAAATTAAGAATCTATCAAATTTTTCAAGGATGATTTTTAAAATTACTTTCCCTATTGCATGTGGAGTCGCGTACATATTTGAAAATAGTAAAAAATATTTATTTATTTTTTTTTTTGTGTTTTAGTCTGTATATTATGCAGTAACATGCATTGATCCAGGAGAAAGTGAAAGTAGTATGTTTTAAAATAAAAAACACACAAGTGTAAATGCAGCCTATGTCTGGGAGCTTGGAGTTCCTGTCTGCTACAAAACATATTATACTTTGAAGATGTAGTGAACTTTTGTCTGCTGGATCCATTATTTCAGCTTTTGTTTGTGTGTTCAGTGAGGTGAGGGAGTGTTTGAAACTGGACCAGGATCATAAGCAGTGCTTCAGCCACTACAAACAAGTGAAGAAGCTCAACAAGCAGATTCAGTCTGCTGAAGAACTTATCCAGCAGGAGAAGTACGTCTTTCTAAATCTATACATTTTTAGGCTACATCTGATTTTGTGTTGTTGCTTTTTTTTTTTTTTTCCAATGCTATTAAAATGATTTATAATTGTATTAATTATATATGATACTGGTACTTCTAGAGACTGAAATAACACATCCCAGAATGTATTTTATTATATAATCTTGATTTTAATTACATTAGTAAATGCATTTTAATGAATGTAATATCTGTGTCTTTTAAATGGACATTTTGAGATAACAATGAAAATATAGAGCTGACTATATTTAAAAAACAATTGTTGCTATTAATAGAGTGGCTCATTTTACTAAATATTGCATTATACTATGAAGCATAAATGCTAGAAAATTTTGAAATACTCATGAATGCTAATAATGCATGGATGGCAGTGTATGTTATTTCAATTATGTATTATGTAATTATGTATCTGGCTACACACACACCCACACACCCAGTAGGGTGGGTGATCAAAATACAGTAAAACTGTAATAATGTGAAATGCAGATTTACAGTTTGATATGACTGACTTTTTAAATATATTTTACAATGTAGTTCACTATAATGGTATAGCTGAATGTTTAATGTTCATCATTGCAACATGATCTATATAATGGGATCATGATATACTGATTCAGTGTTTAGAAATAATTATTTAATTAATATGAGTAATTAGATGTATATTACATTGTAAATGTAGTGCAGAATAGCTTAGTTAAAATTGTAAAAACTTTTTTTAGGGTTTATTTGTGGTAAAAAAAACAACGATGTTTTATGGAGAAAAGTTCTGAAAACAGCATTTATTTGAAAAAAAAAAGAAAAAATAGTATTCCACTAATTTTTGCTAAATAAAAGTAGCCTCGCATTTTTTTTATTTGTGCAGGAAATTTTAAGTATTTGAAGTAAATGTACACCTATTGATCAACTGTCTAAATAATCTAAATGTTGTTTGTTTTCGTAAATGCACAGGTACAGTGATGCAGTCAGTAAATACGAGTCTGTTATGAAGACTGAACCGAATGTTCCCCACTTCACACTGAACGCTAAAGAACGCATGTGCCACTGCTTATCAAAGGTGAGGATGAGCTTCTGTCCACAAGATGTCGCTGTCAGCTAAAACATACGCTGCGTCTGTGCTGAATTAACATACTGTAAGTGAACAGGTTTCACTTTTATTTCACAGGACCAGCAAACCGCCAGAGCCATTTCAGTGTGCAGTGAAGTGCTAAACACTGATCCTCAGAATGTCAATGCTCTGAAAGACCGAGCTGAAGCTTTACTGCAGGACGACCAGTATGAAGAAGGTACTGGAAATACTGAACAACACCCACCCAAAACTACACTACAGGGATTTAAAGACATATAGTTATGAAAAATTGAACGATTGCTATTAAATAAAAAATAATATAGACCATTTTGAGGGACGTAAACAAAAACGATGGTCCCAGCCTACTTCCTCCTTCAGATCATCTAAAAAGAGCCACATATTGATCAATAATGTTATGATGGATGTTCTAACTTTAATTTATGATTGAATTGCCTCTTATTACAGTTATAAGGTTTCATAACAAGCAGGAAATGTTCATGGGCCAATGACCTGACAACATTGAAATGGACTATATGAGTAAAAATGAAAAATCTTTGTTAGGTACATTTTAAAAACGCATTTATTAATTTAAGAATAAAATAAAACACTTTCTACATTATCAGCCTTTAATATATTTTCTCTGCTGATAATTTTATTTAAAGCTCATTTACAATTTGTTTTAAAAAAAACAGGAAAATCTTGAGGCCAATACAGTGTTTGGGCTTTATTTTGATGGTCCATGCGCAGAGCGCAAAACGCAGGGCGCAAATGCTTTCAGGGAGTGTCAGGACGCGTTTTTGCTAATTTAAGGACGGAAAATCTGCCTTGCGCCGTGGCGCATGTTCTAAAAGGGTTGAGTTTATTTTCTTAATAAGTTATAGGTGTGTTTTGAGAATAAACCAATTAGAATCTCATCTCCCATTCCCTTTAAGAGTCAGCTGCGTCGCGCCAATAGCGCATTCGCTATTTACAGGAAGCAAATAAGTGGAAAAAATGAGCATTTCACTAGCAAACAGTTAACAGTTTTTAACAGAAAACTGTTAAACAGAGCATCTACTGCGTGATAATGAGAGATAATGGATCACTTTCAATTTCGCTCTTGGATAGGAACAACCTTTACGCACAGACATCAATTAGTCTATAAATAAATACTTTTGTTTGTTAAGAGCAAAGATTAGTTTCAAAACTATTTCTAAATTCATTTCTAATGTCCAGCAAACGAATAAATGAATAATAATAGCAAAATGTGCTCAAAAACCTGAGTTATATCCTAAAACACATGCTTTGCCCCATATGGTCTAAAACCTGATAGGTGGGCAAATCTAAGCTTGTTTTTAATAAAACAAATATAAATATGGATATAATAAATAATACTGCTAATAGTAAAAACATTACACAAAAGCAAATTGTTATGAATGAACTGAAAAAGCCTCCTGAGATGAAGAAGACATAAAAGCAGTGGTTTTTCATATTTATGTAGGCTAGAAAATAATGTTTTGTTATATTTTAATCCTTTATATTTATATTCTATATCTATTCTTATTATATCCTATATATATCCTTAATATTTAAATTTTTTCATATGTAAAGATATTTGCCTATTGCTCTCTTGTGCGTATTAAGCAGTGCGTAAGCGAGGCGCAACTCTGCGCTGGAGTTTATACCGGGTTAGTTTTGGTCTAATGAAAAATCTATTATAGATTCTCAAAATAGCAACGCGCCAGCGGTACGCCTCAGAACGCCTTCCTTTTTAGACCAGAACGCCTATGGGCGCAAAAATGAGCGCTAATGCAATTGCTATTTAAACAGCGTAGAGCAACGCCTCAAAATGACTCTTGCGCCAAGCTGAAACTACCAAAAGACTACTGCGCAACGCCTTGCGCCACACTGCGCCGAGTGTATGATAGGGCCCTTTGTGTTACTATTGAGACATTTTTAATGTCAGTGTTATTTATTATAAATTATAAGTAGTTTTTGCTCATGTTATAAATATGCTCATTTAAAAAGTCTTATTTGTTTACAAATATTACATACAGTTAAATTGAAAACATGCTTTGCCAATTAAATGATAAAACGTGTATATATATTAATTATGACAAGTTAAACATTAAATCCATTTTAGAGTATATTATCAGCACTTATTTATACTTATATTTGTACTTTTCAGCATTTATAATTTAAAGAAGTTTGTCATGTTGTCATGTAGATATCGGTCCATAAAATATGATATAAAATGGATTAAAGTTATGTTAGTTTATTTATAAGAAATTAAATATGTCAGTTGTGTATTACAGTCTATATTTTAGACAAATCTGAAGGATTATCTGTAAAATATCCTCTTAAAAATCTGACTAATGTTAGTTAATGCATTTATTAACATGAACAAATGACAAAATATATTTGCTAAAGTATTTGTTCATGGTTGTTAATGAAAATACAATTGTTCATTGTAAGTTCATGTTAATTGATGATGCATTAACTAATGTTAACAAGCATGAACTTGGTTAATAATGCATTAGTAAATGTTTAATTTTGATTAATAAATGCTGTACAAATATTGTTCATGTTAGTGTGTGCATTAATTTATGAACCTTATTGTAAAGTGTGACCTCACGATCATTAATGTTTCTAGAATTCCTCATTTTAACTATAAAACAAACTCTTTTGAACTCTTTTAATGTTTCCTCAAGATTTCTCATCAAAATAACTGACAGAATTATGTCCTTTTTTTCAGCCATTAAAGACTTTCAGAGCGCTAAAGAGTACAGTGAAAACGACCGGCAGATCAAGGAGGGTCTGGAGCGAGCCCAGCGCCTCCTCAAACAGTCCAAGAAGAGGGATTACTACAAGATCCTGGGTGTCAAGAGGTTTGACAACACGCATACACTCACACACCATGACTCTCAGTCAGATGTTCATCAATGCAGAGGCCCGATAATAATGAATGAACACACTCAAGAATGTTTTGTGGTTGCAGAACGGCCCAGAAGAAGGAGATCTTGAAAGCCTATAGAAAGCTGGCACAGCAGTGGCATCCAGACAACTTCCAGGATGCAGAGGAGAAGAAGAAGGCAGAGAAGAAGTTTATAGACATCGCTCAAGCCAAAGAAGTCCTCACTGACCCAGGTACAGTTTAGTGTCATGGCTGGTTTAAAAGTCACCAAAAATCAAAATCATCAATCAGAGAGGACTGTTGCACAAAATGAGTTGAACAAACTCTGGGATACAGAATAGGCCAATCTTTGGGTTTACAAAACCAAACAACTCAAATCTGGTGGTCTTAAAATGCTTGAAATAAACTTTCTCTGTTATCTCAGGGTTTAATCCAGAGTTAGTGGACTGCACACAGCTCACAGTGTGACACGTACAGCAAACAGCCAATGAGAGAGTCTGTTTGATTTATTTCTGATGAGAGCAATTCACTTCTGTGTTGAAAATTTAAGAGATTTTATAATCAGAAATATAATGAATTGAAACACATTTTACAGACAGAAATAATATTTTGTGGCATCAGCAGATGACTATTTAAAGAAAATATTATATCTGTACAAATCAACTGATATTTGTAGCCTCACAAACCACTTAACATTTCTATTACTTATCTATGTGTATATTAAAGCAACATTATGTGTAAATATTTCAAGTTTAGGCTATTACTAGTATTGATTGGATACAAGATTTTTATACTGAGAGCACATTGATGGATACATTATAGGTTATTTATCATATATCGAACTGAAAACTCTTACCTAATCATGACTAATGTTTTTAATGTCAATTAATTTTACTTTTAAATATCTTAATTAACTGTGAAGTTGTTGTTATTAATATGTAATGTTTTATCTATATCGATCTTGTCATGAATGAAATGGCCATAAGTTGCTGATATGGCAGTAAAAAGCAAACAAATGAATAATAATAACTCAAAACTATTAATATTATACCAACTATACTTATGAATTAAAATAAATATTAGCATTAAAATACAGTTTTCACTCATAAAAAAAAATTGGGAGTTTGGGATTGATTTGCTCCATCAGCTATAGTACTGTATATGTTTTTCTTTTGGCTGAGATATCCCTTCAAGTAGTTGACAAATCACAAGAACCTAGCCTGTTTGACCAATAAAAAGGAGAGAAAACTTAAAAAGGGGGGGTTAAAAAAACTTTAATGATTTATTTCAGACCCTGTAAGAAGAGAGCTAATGCAGTAGTGTTCATCGTTTAATTTAACTGTATTGACTTTGGATGCTTGTTAACCTTCTAAACAAATCTAGTAACCTTTAAAATGGCATATTAGGAGCGGTTTAATCTTAGTAGTTAACAGTGGTGGAAAGAGTACCGAATAATCATATCCGGTGTAAAAGTACTATTTCTGGCCCAAAAATGGAGTGAAAAAGTATTTGTTGTAATCACTGCTTAAAGTATGATTAAAAAGTAGACCTTCCAAAAGTATTAATGAGTAGTGATTATTACGCTGTAAAAAGTTGATGCGTTTACATATAATTTGTAGATGTGTGTAAACGTAAATTTCTGTAGTGCCTTTACTTATTGCCCAGCAGGCACACAACATCATAAGACGTTAATATTAAGTTAGATTTAGGTTGTGATGTCAGGTAACCAAAATTCAATGTTCAGCAAATGTCTTAGGACAACATTATTTTGATGTCCAATAATGAAGTTGATATTTCGTTGATTAGGTTGTTAGAAAGTGCCCAAAATCCAACATCAAATACTGACCTTTATTCGTCAGGTATGGCAACCAAAATCCAACATCTGATAGGCGTCACAGTGGTAACATCCACACAACGTCAAGCTGTAACATCATTAGATGTTGACTTTAGGTTGGACATTGATGTCAGCTTGAAATTGACTTGTGACATCAACCCGATTTTTATTTCCAAACAAAAGGCATTCCTCAACATTGCGGTATAATGTCAGTCTGACGTCTTGTTGACGTTTTGTGTCTGCTGGGTATCTAAGGGCATTTCGGTCATTGTATAGTAAACATCCAATCATCATCTCATCAGTGACATTCATCTTAAGTCTCTGGGTCAATGTGTGTAAATATTTTGAACATCTTCTTGGACACTTTTAATGGTTGCAAACAGTTTGCTGCAATTATAAATTGCCCATGTCTTGAGGTAGTTCATTATGAAGCGATTTACCTTCTATGTGCAACTTTGATTGGACAGGAATCACAGGTCTTATTTTTCTAATTCCCGTAGACAAGAAATAATAAAGTAGTGACTGTAGGTAGATGGAAAGTAGTGGAGGTAAAGTACAATACAGCACTAAAAATGTACTCAAGGGAAAGTAAAAGTACACATTTTTAAAACTACTTAGTAAATTACTATTTCTTAGAAAAACTGCTCCATTACAGTAGTTTGAGTATCTGTAATTTGTTACTTTACACTACTGGTTGTTAAGCACCTGTAAACAGTGTCATGCTATTCATTTCTCTACAGAGATGAGGAGTAAGTTTGACCAGGGTGAAGATCCCATGGATCCTGAGAGTCAGCAGGGTGGAGGACATCACCACCACTTCCATGGCGGCTGGGAAAACTTCCAGGGGTTCAATCCGTTTGGTTCTGGACCTTTTAATTTCAAATTTGGTTTCAACTAAGGCTCTGCTGAAGGACCCGGGGCCTGGATATATGCTGGAGTCAGCAATTGGGAACTTGAGACCCCTCACACACAGGAGCACTTCAGATGGGACAAGCGCCTTGAAGCTCGTGGTCAACTGATCTGTGAACAGCTCCTCTACTACAGGGATCTCACAGTCCTGAGTGCACGGTCAATGTGCGCATCGACCTTTACATTCCTGAGAATCACATGTACATAGAAAACAGTATTTTTCTATGAATCAAACCAAGCTGTAAATAATTAAATAAAGAGATATGAATGCTTATTTAAATTACCTGGGTTTTGGGTCTTTTACTGAAGAGCATAGAGGCATTTAAAGAAATATATCACCCAAAAATGAAAATCCACTTATTTTCTTACACTCAAGTGCTTTTAAACTTCTGTCGAACACAAAACAACAAATTCTGAATCTGAACAAGGTTGGAAAAAGCAGCCATTAATATTCATAGTAGAACAGTTTTCCCCCAACATTCTTCAGTATGCTATAATAAAAAAATTAATTAAAAATCTAGGTTTCAGAATTCTTTCGCGTTGTCCTAAAAGAGGTGGTCCACTATGATATCATATTTGAAACCTTAGTTGATGTGTAATGTAGCTGTGTGAACAAACAACATCTCTGAATGTATTACGCTCAAAGTTCAATGCAAAGGAGACATTGGCTTTACAGAGTTAGCTTAGCAAAGCCTACAGCAAACAAAGTTTGAGGACTACAAAAAACATCCAGGCTAGTGAGATCACATGGGCTTCTGGTTCTGTGCATTCACTATGCGCATACACCCTGTCCAGTAAAGGGGCGCTGTAATGTTATAGCAGAGAAAACTGAAATGCTGTCCAAACGCTGCTATTGCCACAAAGTTTGTTCTCTTTCTGTATTTGGGCTTTAAACGGACACGACACAAAGACAGAAGTGCTTACAGTTTAATTTTAATTGTGTTCCAGAGAATTATAAAAAATATACAGCTAGCATTTGACAATGGACAGCTTCCAGAATCTCCCTCAGTTCTGTGCTGGATTCTGATAAAAACTCCAAACTCCTCCAACTGATGAAGCGGTGGATTGTGAGCCACAACCTGTTAGTATTTTTATTTGTTAAAATTAATCAAATCCATGCACATTATCTAGCGTTACCGCTGTGTTGTAGCAAGAATGTAAACAATGGGAAATGAGGTTCAGCTGTGTCCTCTTCATTTTCTGTCTGATTCAGGCTCAAACTGATACAGCTAACAGCTACTCTGACTGAAAGTGTTTACCTAGTGCAAAAGCATGTGCTTGAAGATGTGTGAAAATTTTCCTGGTCACGTAAAGCTGATCTGCGAATCACGGCACATTAAATTAGCTGCTGGCCAATCAGAGCCCCTTGAGGGCGGGGGTTTCAGAGGAACTAGGATATATGACAGTCATTCGTACATGTTAGCCGAGTAGCTGTATATAATCAAATATATATATATATATATATATATATATATATATATATATATATATATATATATATATATATATATATATATATATAAAAACTAATTTTATACAAATGAAGCATGAGCACACAATGCTTTGCATCTTATCAACCCAACCAAGCCTTATACATACACTCTGGACCACCCTTTTAAGTAAACGTAACATTGTTAACATTTACAAATGTAAGTGGTCCGAACAAACAATTAAGTTGTCCCAAAAAAACACTTAATTATTGTGTTGTTTTAACTTATTTCCAATTATTCTGAACAAACAGCAAGTTGTTTGAGTGTATATACTCCTTTGTGTTCAACAGAAGAAAGGAACCTGTTTCTAACAAGGAATAAGTAAATAATGACAGTTTTTATTTTTGAGTGAACTATCCCTTTTAAATTAATCAAATTTAAAACACCAGCAGTTTATAAACAGGCTTTCTCCACCTCAGAATAAAAATATCACTTTATTCCTGAGAAAATCACTGAACATCAAGGCATAGAAACAACATGTACAGAGTCATGTACAACATGTCAATGATGAAATGCAAGAATATAAATAATCAGGGAATGCTGGAAATCAGCTTCAGTAACTGTCATTCAGAAAGGTCTTCAGATCAGATATGCAGAACTGACAAGTTTTGACAATAACAAATATCTTGATGTCCTTCATTTGGTTTACAAATGAATGATTTATTCTGGAAATAGTCTTCTTCATAGTGTTCAGTTTTTCAGTACTCAAACATGAGTTGTAATTAATCAGAATGTATTAGTTATTACTGAAATTGTCATATACCCTTCAATTTGCACGCAAACAAAAGTATTGTACAGTTATTTACTGAATACAAAAAGGCCATGTGAAACAGAACAAACATGTAACCGTTTTCTCTGAAGGAATGTACACAATATTGACATGTTTCTCCCTTATAAATACTTCAGATAAACACCAGTGCCTTTGCAAGTTCATGAGCTGGCCAAAAATATCAGATTTCTTCAATGCTCTTCAACAGCGTTTTATAAAAAGCCAAGACATGTTTACAATTTGAAATAATTCAAACTGAATCTTCCTTCAAAATCACATACATAAAATTGACATGAAGTCCTTTAAAAATGATTTCTGTCGTGGAAAACATGGTTTAAGATTTACAGGACGAGTCGGTTTTCTTGAGTGCTAAAGTTCGTCACGTCGATTGCCTGTTAAAATACAGATGTTCATGAACTTTGCTTCAATCACAAGGATTACTGAAGTATTGTTGTGTATTGATTAGAGTTACCTGTGTGCTGTGTGGATGCTTTACTCTGGGTAATTTCTTTTTTCGCTTCTTTCAGAAAGCGTTTTATCTCATTGTCATATTCCGTCCACTCTGAAACAATCCTCACCGCTGCACTCAGCTTGGGCTCTTTGGTCCTTGGGTTATTACACTGCAACAAATCAAGCCCAAAAAGTCAATTGTGTAGGCGAAACACTTCCTTCAGCTGTTTTAGCAGAGCTTTTATTTCAATTTTTGAGGACTTCAAGTGAAAACTGTCAGTACTGTTCACCTGTAATAGAGGCTGATGTCAACACTTTGGTCATTTCTGATTCACAGAGCACATTTTTACATTTACTACAGCACTTTCAATGCTGTGGACACAAAGTTTGGACAATTTACATCCAATATCAGCTTAAAATGGTTTTTAAAATGGTATTCAGACCCACTTGAGAACTTTACTGTAGATTGTAGTTGATTAATACTTTATTTTGATGGTCCATTTGAGTATTAGTAGACTGTCTGCTTAATATCTGCTGATACTGCTCCTTCAACAGACATTTAACTGACTAGAAGAAACTTTGCAAGTACATGTCAACTTACACCAACCCTAACCCCAACCTAACAGTCTACTTATAATCTAATGAGAATTAGTTGGCATGTAGAAGCAATGCGACTCAAATTCAACAAACAGACCATCAAAATAAAGTGTGACCATATAATCTGTGTTATGTTTACAACAAATATTGTATTTTAATATTTAATATTTCAAAGAATAATTTTTAAAGGGTAAAGATGAATAGAAACAGAAATTTGTCCAGACTGCTCAATGTATTGACTGGTACTGTAGGATTGAATTGAAATTTAGCATTGCAGAAATAACAAGCAAAAGGATTTCCTGCAAGCGATAGAACTGCAGATGATAATTATTAGATTAAAGTTGAAAACATTTACATTTACTTGTAAGTTTGAAAAAAAAAGCTTAAAAAAGCTTAAAGTCTGAAGTTTTCAACTATTAGCATGTTGCTATCCTTGTATTTAATTCAATTCATCTTTATTTCAATAGCCCTTTTACAAGATTGTGTCAAAGCAGCTTAACATAGAAGTTCTAGTAAATTGAAGCTGTGTCAGTCCAGTTTTTGTAGCAAATTAAAGTATGATATAAAGTTGCTGACATTTCTAAAGTTTTAACTCATTGCTAGTGTTTCCATAGATATAGACTAGATATTGCACACGAACCCAGAGTATGCATCAGTAGCGCTGCCACATATGTACAGTGCTCCCAAGACAAACGTCCTTCAACTGCAATAGTCAAGACTAAAGCCAATCTAAAGATGCTGGACTGTAGCGTTGTGTACGGGTGTAGTAATGAGCAGACAAAGAAAACAAAGCATAAAGGCATCACATTTCATAGGTAAGATCTGGGTTTTTATGATTTTATATGTTATGAATGTTTGTGCTCAACAAGTAACGTTACTGATGATAATAAAGTCACTTACTGCACTGACTATCAGGCAAAGTAGCACCAACTTGCTCGAAATACTGGACTTCTGCTAGTTTTGTTGAATAAAATAGGCAAACAATGTAAATGAAATATGACAAGACACTGTACTGTCAGATATTTGTATTATTGTCAGCTAAGTGAAGTGACGCTAGTTTTTAAAGTAACTTATAAGGGTGTCTGATTACAAAACTGCCTGCGCCTCAATGTGCATACTGTACACCCTAAATTATTGAATATTACATATGTTATATACCATTTAGATCAGAAAGGTGAATATGCACATTGAGCCACAGGGATATCGATGCTTCACACGAGTCATTTATAATGGGGATTCATTCACAATATAATCGGTCCCTCTGAATTAGAAGTGAAAGCAGGAGAGGGGGTGTGTTTCAGGACATAGATTAGATCAAGTTTAACAGGTAGGGTGGATAAAACATTTCCATGCACTCAAACACATGCCCTTTGTCAGCAATATGTGATCACTTATCCATCAATGTAGAAAAGCGATAAAGCATAATTAAAAATATATATATTTGCATACTGACCACTGGAAAAACTTTCAATCATAGACATATGTATAAATATTTACATCTCTCTGGCTCTGGATGGCCAGTCCTCCACTACATCTTGGTCCCACATTCATTGCAAAGGAGCGCTACCCTGTACTAAAATGGCGGCTCTATTGACACATTCCTTCCAATAAACAACAACAGCATAGGCGACATCTAATGTATATATCTATGGTGTGTTTCTTGCATGATTTGTTTTAGCACATTGCTTTTGTCTCTAGCATGTTTTGTTTTAGCATTTTGCCAGCATGTTTTTAGCATGATTTGTTTTAGCACCTAGCTAGCATGTTGTAGTTGTTAGTATGTTTATTGCAAGTTTCGAACATTTTCGAAACTTTCGAACTTTTTGGCTTAATCCCTTTATTAATCAGGGGTCGCCACAGTGGAACTGCCAACTTATCCAGCATATGATTTATGCAGCTGATGCCCTTCCAGCTGCAACCCATCACTGCGAATCATCCATACACACTCATTCATACACTAAGGAAAATTTTGCC